CACCGTCTAGGTTTTTCAGTGTCATGGCTGTCACAGCGCTCTTGTACAATCCCTCGTTGTTGCTGCTTTTAGCGGTCTTCTTCACCTGTTTCTTATGCCATCTTCAGCCTGTCCAAGGAGGACCGGATCGCCTTGCCAAGTCCAGGGAGTATTGGCTCTTCCACAGGCGTTACATAAATCCTTCCATATCACTATCTATTCGGCACTACTGAGTTTCTCTACTCCCGACATGCCACATGCTCTCACATAAATGCACTAACCTACTCTTAAAACGAAACTGGGAAATCTTATAAATAAAAATGCAATTGGATCATCTACTGATGGCAATGACAAGTGAAAAATAATACTGTTCGAGAGAGTAAACTGGTTTGCAATCATCCTTTTGCCTTTTGTCCTCCTCTTGCTAGTGGGAAAAGTGGACTTCCATGTGCTTGAGACTACATAGAACGCCCAGTTCTTTGTCCTTACATGGCTATCATGCAATACTGCATTAAAATATTTGTTATTTAATCGGCTCTCTCCCTCTCTTTACTTTGCCCTTTTAGTGTAAGTATCTCAGCTCAAAAACTCTTTCTCTGAATTTTGTTTGTCCGTGAGTCATCCATCTAGATTAGGACAAAGTTTTAGCAGGCCAAAATATGGCTAAGGATGTTTGCATAAAATATTGCTTGAAGCTTTTTGATGATGAAGTTGAGGAATAAATAGATTTTGTCTAGAGATATTATATGGTTGTGCAAATCATTACTCTAGATCTAGTCAAACTTCAAATTCTGCAACATATTCCATGTTCCAATCCATCTAAAACTCTAATTGAAATTTGCGATGAATTTGTGATATGAATTATGTTTATTTACTGAAAACCTTGATGAACTCATTTCGTCTCTCTTCCAGCTATTTCGATTTCTAATGGAATTATATGGTTGAGCAGGAGCATGATGATACAATTGAAACTGAGCATATGTGAGAATGATGATTCTATATCTGAAGATGAGCTTGTTATAGAGCTTGAACAAGAGTGCTTATTAGAGTCTATTATTGTACCGAAGTAGTTTTCATTCATGATTATTACTTTCCAACCTTTTGAAATGGAGTTTCATGTTGTTCCTCAACTTCCTACACTTTTTGACTGCTTCATCACACTTTTGAGTTCATTTTACCATCGCTGCAGCCACCATATGCCTTGATATTCTATGATATTTTACTTTGAACATTAGATATATTCATGCTTCCACATGAGTATGAAACCTTATATCTTATTCTTCAATTTTATATAGGGTTATATATTTACATATCTAACACCTAAATTTTATATTTACATGCATAGCACTCAAATCTTTAACATTAAGTAAAAAATATCATTATTTTCTTTTTAAAAGTGAAATGCACCTTTTCATGCATAGATACCGTGTTATAAATGTAAATATCAAACTTTGGCTGTTAGATATGTAAATGCATAAGACTTGTGCGGTATGTATGTAAATGCCCCTTCACCATGACAATCAAACTTCTAAAAAAATGATTCATATAACTTTTTAGGGGAGTGAGTATTGTTGTGACAAGGAGAAAAGATGTAGCACTATAAATTATATATAGTACTCTTAGAATTTATTTTACTTACGGGTAAAGTGCAATACATGGGGTTATTTTAGTCACAGTCTATAAAAGTGTCAAATTATGTTCTTGTATTTTTTTTTAATGTTGGTTGAAATAGTCAGCAGAGAACTATTTTAGCCCTCATTAAAGGAGTTTGAGGACTAAATTAACACTCTTATAGACTATGGGGCCAAAATACCCCCCCTGTAAATAGTCATGGGATCATTATGACACTTCCCTCTTTCAGTTTTAATTTAAATTAGGATTTTTTGATTGAGTACTGCTACACTTCACCAAAAATTTTTATTTAAAGTGAAGTCTTAGCACTATTTGATGAGGAGTAATTAAAGCTGGGTTGAGTGATACATTTTTGCTTATGAAGATTTTCATTGGTCCATGTCTTCAAATGCTTACGTGGCTTCAATTTAAATCAGCTTTTTATTTTTGAGTATACCATTTATCTTCTATATTTATTTTAATTGAAATTAGCATTAATTATTCTGATGGGATAAGTTTAGGTTTTAATTTGAATTTTTTAGTTTCGAAGTATTGTTCTTATTTTTAACCTTATTTATAAAAATAAGTATTCATTGCTTGATAAGGAATTGATATCTACACATGCATTAGTTAAGCCAAAGCTGCAGCCTAAGCCACTTCCAAATCATTTCAATGTTAGTTAAACAATACCCCTCTACTTGTGATTCATGAATGTTTTTTATCTTCATCGAAGTAGGCAGTTATCTAGCTAAAAGTTAGTATGGTGTCCTCTCAAAGTAAATTACACATTTTTTTAAAGGACCAACCGTTGTTTTACGGCATGGCATGATTCATTATGCTAGGGAAAATATTCTTACTTCAAGCATTGTAATATTAATATATATATATATATATATATATGTATGTATGTATGTATGTATGTATAAGTTTATATTGTATCAAAAAATTCAAATTGAATAAACAAAAAAATTAATATTATTTTTGGAATAACAGAATAAAATAGGATAGCATTCAAAAAATACATTGTATAGACAAAGAGTTCAACAACCATTAGATAAAATCTAATATTACTATAAAACCCAATTTGATCAATGATAATGTGTGTGTGTATATATATATCAAAGAGGCC